CTTTGTTAACCCCCCTGGGCTAATTGTTCCAGAAAAAAAGGGGGGAGGGGAAAAAAAAAAAAAAAAAAAACACAATTAGCGTGCGTCTGCAGAATAGTTTTGATAAGGTCATTGCTAAAAGGGTTTTACTCTTGACGCGATTGTGTTTGTGGATCGAATCGATTGGTGGCCCTGCGAGCGTTCTCCCACCTGCTCAAGGTAGGGATTAGAGAGAAACTCATCTAATCGCTTTAAGCTGTGGAGACTCACTTTGGCTTTTCCATTGTTTTGCAGCCTTTTAGTGGACAAAGTGTTCTGTCCGAGGTGGGGGATGCGGCAGCCGACTTTTTAGGGCAAAACAAGAAAACTTCATGGTCGGTGGAAAGTTTCACGAACCCAAAGACATTTAAGTTTAGATGAAACAACAAAACAACTTCTGTTTGGACCGGAAAACATCTATTTAACGGTTGTTGTTGGCAAGACTGATTTACTACTACACTGCTGATTTTGTCGTCCTTTAAAGATAAAGGACGACTTTTCAATACATCAAAGTTTTCCCATCTGTGTCTGCGTTCACAAACACCTGTATGCAGAAGAAACGCGAAAAGCCTTCACAGTTTGCATTAAATAGGTCTGTTAGGATGTTGTCTTGTCATTGAAGAATGTTGAACACAGCTGTAACTGAAACACATCGGAAAAGGGAAAACTGTTCAGCTTCTTGGTACCGACAGCGATGGGACATTTAGTGGTTTACCTGTAAACCAAATGTCTCCCCAGTTCTCTCACCACTTTGCAACTTGTTCTGCTGTGAAATTGCCATTTGGTTTTGTTTTTGTTTTTTTAATTAAAATGTAAAAGCCACTGTTTCCAAGAATAAATTATACATTTTTATTTGTCTGTGAATATAAGCGTGAATGCAAAAATTTAATTCAGTCAGTTTCCACTATGATTCTATTTATAACACTAAGGTCAATTCAGCTTGTGATGTCAGTTGTTAGTTTATCTAAGGAGACTCGGCTAATTGCATTGAGTCGCTGATTTGCATCAATCCCTCCTTCTGATTGAGCTTGTGGAGACAGGTGGCAATTGGTTAATTGCCACCGTCCTTTAATTGATTACCTTACTTTTCTGAAGAGGGTGTTGTACACCATCTAGTACCACATCCACGGAAGTTACTATACAATTAACGATGCAGTCAGTTTATGAGCAGCTAGAAGTGAAGTTGAAGAGTTTCTTCTTTTTTTTTTTATTTTTTTAAAGGTTGTTCCAGTATTTTCTGATAAAGATCTTCTGTAATTAATTTTTTTCTCAGGGGCAGAATGGTAAATTAGATTAAACCAAAATGTTATTAAAATGGTCAGATAGGTTGTGGCAGCGAGGAAAAGCTGTTCTGTTCTCATTCTTGGTCATATGACAGCGCCAGATGAAATGTATGAAGGCAAAGACAAGTTGAACTGTGAACATTTTTGTGTAAAGCCAATTAAAGCTTGGATAATTTTAGCCATGAGCAAGTTTACTTTAAAAATACACAGTTTGATACGGGTATTCTGGCTAATTAACAAGCTAACGTTTCTCGGGTTTACAGTGTTACTTTTCAAAGATAAACTGGCAGAAAATTCTGTGCAATGAGCACATTTACTTTAGGACCGATGCCTCTTCCACCTATATGTAGCCTACACCTTCTTAAGGTGACGACAAGCAACAAGCTACAAGAGTTAGCATGTCTGTTGGCAAAATAAACAGGCTAGCAAGTGGCGGAATATAAATAAACGTGTTAATTCGCGAGATAACATTAGCTTGTCAGGCTCCTGTTACTTTTCAGACATGACATTCTGCAGGGAAAGATGGTTTATTTTAGAACTCTTACCTCTTCCACCACTTTGTACCGCTACACTAACTGTATCTTAAAGCAAAAGCCTGCATCAATCTGTGTGAGTTAGCATGTCTGTCAGTAAAAGAATAAACCAGTTAATTCATGAGACATGGAAAGTCTCCAGTGTTACTTTATAAGTAGAATGATGGCAAAAAATAACATAATAATCTGTGTACTTTAAAACTGACACATTCTCTATGTGCACATCTGCTTTAAAAGCTTTTCAGTAAAAGGATTCTTGTTTGTTTCTACATCTAATATTAACGCGTCACTTCTGATTGATCGAGGTTTCTACAACTAAGATTGACGATCGTTGTTCATGTAGCTACGAAAATACTAAGAAATATTACTAAATCAATAATAATTATCCATACTATTGCAATCCCTTGCAAAACTCTACATGCTTTAATGCAGAAAAAGCTACTCTCTGTTACGAAAAGAACAAGAGAGATTTCCTAAAATGGGAACCGCTGCCTTCTTGTAGTCAGAGAGGGATTTGTGTGTCTAACTGGCTAAGTGTCGGCATTCACTGAACTCTTAGATTACTTTCAGCATTTATAGTGTCCCAGATAATTACTTCTTAGAGCTCTGTGCCCCCTCTTCGGTTTTCAGGCGCACATTGCTGTAGTTGAGCAGTCTTCTCCTGGGTAGAGGCCAGTGGGCACAGGACGGCTGAACCCAATCAACCTATCGATCTTTGGTGGGTTGCTTGGGTGAGGTTGACCCCCAGCTCCACATCCCCAGCCTCAGGCAAAATCCCCACCTCCACTTGCTCCCCCCCCCCACCCATAAACAGACACCCCTCCTTCCCCTTCACACTCTTCGTCTTTCTTTGCACCGGGTGCCAGGTTACCATGGAGATCTGTGGTTCCATTTCTCCCCTCTAAGTGCTTCTTTCATTCATGCTCTCGGTCTCTTCTCTCTCTGTTTTATATTTCTCTCTGTTCTCACTGCTTGTCTCTTTGTCTGCAACCCCTAAAAGCTGAGTCATCACACACACCGATTTCATACCTCCGATGTTTGCATGCTTATTCATTTTCTTATCAGTTTGATTTAATGCAACTGTTTAACGGCTCTCGGTTTTGCTCACCTCCACGTTGCAATAACATCCTAAAAGAAACGTGAGAAATGTGCTACATTAGAACTTTATAGATTTGTCGAGTTAAATGCTGAGACAGATTGATTTACGTGCCCCCCTCCATTGCTTCTATCACTTTCACCTAATCTATCGCAATCACACAGAGACGTCCACACTTAGCAACTGCCTCCTGAAGCTGCCCCAAAATACTGTTTACACAGACGCTCACACACACACACACACACACACACACACACACACACACAGCATATGCAAGCACCACTCCCTGTCATTCTGCTAGTGGCTACTATGTTGTTTAATTGCTGTCTCAAATCAAATCGATATTTGTGAGGTTATGTGTTGGGGTCAGGGCTAAAGAAAAGAATTGATCGTTGCAGCTTTGTGGCAGACTCGGAACGGGAGAAGGAGGAGTGGTTTGAGGCAATCAAAGAATCGATCGCGGAGACGCTCTACGACTACGAAGTGGCGGAGAAGATCTGGTTCAACGAGGCCAATAGGAGTTGTGCCGACTGCGGCGAGTCGCAGCCAGAGTGGGCGTCGGTCAATCTGGGTGTGGTCATCTGCAAGAAATGTGCAGGTAAGAGGCACGCTTATGGACCAAACCTTTTGCATGTTCTTTATTATCTTCACCACTACTAGTATTGAGATTTCATGTAGACATGAAGGGGAGGTTTCTTCCAGGGACGTGGTGCCATTTTATAGCACGATCAAGTAACTGTGTTACCTCCAGTCGTTATAAAAATGCGTAATATCTCCAACATGACTTAAAACAGACTTGACTTCTTTAATTTGATGCCCTGAAATTGGCCTCCGTCTCTTTAAGAAGTTCTGGTTCTTTCCGACACTCCACCTTCAGCACGTCAACACAACAATCCTTCTCCGTTATGCCATTTTACAAACATTCTTTGGGGCTTTGTACGGAGAAGTAGTTCTCATGATGGAGCTCAGCAGACTCACAGTTCCACCAGGTGTTTGCTAATTGCTGCTGCTGCTAGTCTAGAGGAGCCGATTGAGGAAGGCGTTCTCTGCGAGACTGAGCTTTGTGTAAGCCAAAGGGATTTCTCAGACATGCAGTCAAGAATCAAACATCCAGCATGATATAGAACTCAATAAAGTAGATTTTACATATTACTTCCCCTTTAAAAAAAAAAAAATGTATAAAATGAAATGTAATATGTCAATACTTGACTGGTGAAGATGGTAGCACTGTTGCTTTGCAACAAGAAGGTTCAAATCCAGACCTGGGGTCTTTCTGCATGGAGTTTGTATGTTTTTTTTGTTTTTGTTTTTTTTTCTTAGTGGGTTCTCCTCAGGTACTTTGTGCTCCTCCCACAGCACAAAACATGACTGTTCGGTTACTAGACTAGAGCATTTTTGATTGACCTGTGTCTCTAATAGCTCACTCCTACTGCTAGCTCATTTTTAAGGCAGGCTGGTGCAACTTTCACTTTGAATTCATAATTTATTTCATTGTTAAATAACTTGACAAACTTTTTCTGAGGTCAACAGGTACTTTTTGTTTAATGGCAGAAAGTGGATTTCCATATTCTCTTCATGCACCCAGGTGAAGACAAACATATGCTGGCTAGTGGCCCACAAGCTGACAAACAACATGCAGTCCAACACAGTGAAATAAAACAAGGACTCCTATGTAGAAACCCTCCTACGTAAAACTCGAGTGTAGCCGTCGTAGGTCGCTGTAGGTGAAGACCTCCCGTCTCACCACCTCGTATCTTCATCTTAACCGGGATAATGAGCAACAAAGTAAATACTTGCAAATGAAGGAGTGGGGTACTTAATAGTGCCCTCCACAGTTGTTGGCTAAGATGTGAATAAAGCACTTAAAATAAGTTGTAGTTATGGAGACTTAATGACCCTAAGATGGTACTCTTTGCTGCAGTCCTCCAACAGATGGCTATGCAAATTTCTTTCATTTTTTTTTTTTTTTTACTGCTTGATCTGGTAAGATAAACTTTTCTTCTCCAGCCTGGTTGTTTTAAAAGTTTTAAATTTTGTACTTTGACTATCAATTTGAACAGGTTTACATGAGCAGTTACTTTACTCTCGTCATTTCCTAAATTATGAGCATCAATCTATGTTTGTAGTGCTTGCATAACATGTTCTCCTGTTTCTTTTCTTCCTGCTTTTTTTCCCCTAGTTTTTATATTGTAGCTAATAGAAATGGGCCTCGGTCATGTCATATTTAAAACCCAGGGAAAAAGACAATTATGTCTTCTCAGAAACACTCTGATCAACGTGAGAAATCAAAACAGTTGGGATTCTTAGAGATCCAATAACTGTGGCGTGTGATTTTACTAAAACAGTCATTTCTTCCTTTGAGTAGGATTGTTCATCTTCTCACTTAACTCAAATTAAAGGTAAAATATTATTGTATTTTAAGTATGTTTACCAGTAATTCTGGAAGGTGCAAAAACAATAAAAACACGCTTTACCAAAAGATTAAATTGATGCCACAGAAATACATATTGAATTTTTATGCACTAATCACAGGATCAAACACTTTTTAGGTTAAATAATGCTTCATTTTTGAAACATGGACTTCTGAAATGTTAAAATATAAAAACTAGAAGTTTCTACATTGCATTTCATATAATGATTTCTAGACAGACTAATCAGTGTTTTACATTTTTCCCCCTGTTTGCCATGTAAAGCAAGTTATTTTTAAGTCCATTAAAACTCTTCCAAGGTTATTAAAAAAAATATATAAAATTGGCGCCACAGAAATATTGAGAAAATTTCAATAATCTTCTGAAAAATGTCATGTACGGCAGTTTCAGAACGAATCGGAGTCCTGGTGCACTGAAAACACATTCAAGCTTCCTCTCACCTATTCTCTGTAAATGTGAGCTCTTCGGCCTCTGCCGACATGTAATCTGATCCCCGGGGGTGTTTTGGGGAATAAGATCTCAGGTGATAAGCCACTTATGGGAGTTGGTGTCTGGCCTGTGGACTCTCTAATCTGTTTGGCAATGCCAGATAATTCAGATGAAATGACAAGAAAGATTATGTGCAAGAACTTGGGGGATCCCAGACTGCTACTTGACCTGCTAAACACGATTAGAGCGAGAGAGAGAGAGCCGGACGGAGTGGACACATCCCTCTTTCCAGCTCCAGATTTCTTCCTGTCATACTTAATGCGATTCTTCACCTCGCCCGTGTAATTGCTACACATCAGATAGCCAACATCTTCTTTCAAACACTTCTAAATGGTTTCATTTGCAGAGGTGTTTAATATTACATTTTGTCGACACGCGGAGAGCAAGGGGGATATTTGCATTTAAAGAAGCGGCCCCGGTCTCCTGAAATTATTCTGTGGTCTGTTTGGAATGCCAATGCCTGCTCATGCTTTTAATTAGGCCTCTTAAACTTTATTGTTACGGACAAAAAAAAAAAAAGAGAGAGTCACCGAACAAGAGGGAGAGGCAAGAAGTAATGAGAGAGCTAATGGGGAAAAAATGATACAAGATTGACTTTCCCCTTTTGTGATGGAGTGAATCCTAATGGTGTGTAACTTCACTCTTTGATGTTGAAGAGTTTACTACTGGAGTATTTTTGTCATAGTTTGCAGATTTACTACAAGTTGTGAATCTGTGATTATTCCTGATGCTTGTTTTTTAGGAAATAAATAGCCTGATTTTTTTCTCTGTATAAAATCAGCCTGCTTAGTCTCACTTTTCTTGGATAACTTCTGCTGCTGCTTGGACACCGTAGGATTGTTACGCCTGCTGCTGCCCTCTCGAATGCTGCTGGTTCTCAGAAATTTAGCGCAAGATACTACTTCACCGATGCCGAGCTTGGGACTCTTGACTCAACGGCTACTTCTGTCGGTTATTGCTTTTTTATTTGGTCTACAAGTATTAAATGCACACATTTTCCAAAAACCTTTAAATGGGATTTGCAATTTTCAGACCAGCCATAAGTAAATTCCCCAAATATTTTTAAGTACAAAATGAAATAAACAAAAAGTTACATTGTAGGGAATTCTACATTTAAGGTGAAAGTATTACTCGACCCCCCGCTCTCCCCTAAAGATGAATTTGAGCTTTCATCTTTTTCACCCACCACCACCTTTCAACACAACTTCTCCAATGGAGACGGCGCTAATTAAAGAGTTTCGCACTGCTACGCTGATACGCAATTTCAACAAACCACGAGGTAGCTGATAAACATGTCCTTACTTAATAGCTGCCAAGATAATCCCGGGTTTATCCGTTTGCTAACTCGCCTCTTGTCGCCCACTGAAAGTGCAAAAGCCTTAAACTCGCTGCCTGTTCTGTTCTGTTGCACGAATCCCTATGAAAGTTTCTGACGGGAGGTGAAATCCTCGGAGGTGGCCGTCTGCTCTGTGTTGCTTTGGTTCCGTGGGAAAGATGAAGACATTTACACTCAGCCTTTTATACAGAGGGATCTCACTGCTTACCCTGAGGCCCGTGCAAGCTTTATTTCAGCTTCATTAACTTTACACAAGTGAAAATGGTCCTGTGGTGTTGCACGGCCCAGTGGATGGTGCACTGATGTTGCAGTGCAGGCGGCTTCATGAGTAAAATGGCTTCAGCCCTTCACAGGTTGGAGTGACAAAAGCCAACCGTATAGACCTTATTTTTCAAGTTGCGGATCAGAAAACCCGGTCAGAGTTTTATTTCAACTTTTCAAGTCGTATCGAACAACCTATTTAACCCTGAATCATCTACCTGTAATTTATGTTGTAATCGTCAGAAATGTTTACTTAGTCCGTTTTAATACACTACACTCCTCATCTTTTATATCCACACAAGCCTCTACATTCAAGCTCAAAACTGTAATTACACCCCCACTAATATTTGTGTGAATGTGTTTTTAGAAACTAACACTTCAGTCACACACTTCCAGCCGTCAGTAAACTTTTGGCATAACTCTGGTTGGACGCTTCAGCACTCTTCTTGGCAGAATGGGATTAATTCATTTAAATTGATTTCCTGGCACAGACGTGGGCCCATGAATTTCCACCAGTGTTGATGCCGGGGCTTTGAGAAGGCCGTTCTTAATGTCGGCCTAATCCTTCCCAAAGCCACTTTTAATGTGTTTGGGATCATTGTACCTCTTGGAACTACTTCCAAACACTCAATGTCAGTGGATATCTTAAGTTTATTTATTTATTTTACCTTTTGAGGTTGATCATTCAGACCGGACCTTCTTAGCCTATATGGTCCATCTAAATGTTGCGAGAGTAAAAGTTGTTTAGTCTGTCGGAATCATGATGATAGCATCAAAAGGCGTTTGGTTGGATTGTGTCTAATTAAAGCCGATTTAACCACCTAGAGTATTACTAAGGTAATGATTGTGTATCTAATTGATCAATACATGAGACTATATCGCCAACATTCATTCGTAAGAAATTAGCCTCGTGTTGCTTCCTCCATACATCTTCTCGGTCTAATAAACGGAAGCGACGCCAACACCGAGGACTAGTTATCGAAAAATGTCTCGCGACTAAAACTGTGAAGTGACAAATAATTTAAAGTCTTCTTTTTTTTTTCCAGCCTGTGCCATCCAGAACTGTGTCAAGATGTCCTGTCACAGCTCACAGCCCCTCATTTTCATTCACAGCTGCTCCACTTCTGAATAGGAGACAGTAATGAGATCATGCCAAATCTAAATCTAAAATTATCCACCGTTACTCACAGGACAATAATTCACAGTCACACATACGGCATGCGTAATGTATTATGCATGTCCGCTCCGTCTTTGGCCACAAGCAACCCCAGAAGCCCCCACCTCCCCCCACCCAGCTCACCCAAATAAACAGGCCGACCAACAAACACAATGAATTACTCATGATTCATTAGCAATTAATGGTCCTCATTCTCTGCTTTCATTTCCAATTAGGGGAGCTGAGGGGACTAAATATGTTGTGTTGTGAGTGAGAGAATGAGCTCGCAGTCATGCTCCGTTTTCTCCGTCTTGTAACTGCCTGTTTATTGTTTACTCCATCACTGGCAGCATGTTTGTGCACGCTGAGCAGATTGTTGTGCATATATGCGTCTAATAATTTTGTACTTTTATGTGAACTCCTCGGGAACTAAGGGATAGCCTGGCACCACAATATTCTCGGCGCATATTTCAGACATATAAAAGGATTTTTATGAGCTCGTCTGTCTGTTTGCATTAATAATTGTGTGTCACTGTTTTTGTTTTTTTGTTGTTTTTTTTGCCAGGGCAGCACCGGTCCCTGGGACCAAGTTTGTCGAAGGTGCGGAGCTTAAAGCTGGACAGCAGCATCTGGAGCAATGAACTTGTGGAGGTATTTTAACTCGTGAAACTATCGCTGAAAAAAAAAAAATTCTAAAAGTTTTTCCTTGCTGTAGCAGTGCATACTGTTTAACAGGAATACACAACAAAAACTAACTTTTGTCTAAATAAAGAGCTCCCACATAGTAATGAGACCTCTACTAGCAGTTCGCATCGAAACAAAATGCTTGTTCATCTTGCAGCTTTTCCTGGAGGTGGGGAACCAGAATGCTAACAGTTTCTGGGCCGCCAACCTCCCCTTAGAGGAGGAGCTTCACAGCAGGGCCTCGACTGAGCAGCGTGCCACGTTCATGCGCCGGAAGTACAGAGAAAGGAAGTACAGGAAGGTCCTGGAGGACTTTACTAACCTGGACGAACTCAATAAGGTAAGCGCTTCGTGGGAATGCAGCAGAGAACAAACTACAGGCAGCAGCTGCATGCAGTTTTATATGTGGTTTCTGATGCTCTGGTTAAGTCCCATTCTTCTCCTCAGTTTGCATTTTAAGCAAAAAAACATTCTGTGACGAATTTACTTTCTTTTTCCTATTTTGTTGTTTAAGCGATATGGTTGTTTAACCATAAATCTTGCAAAATGTGATAAAACATTTGCAGATCAATCCGCTGGCATTGTTTTCTACTGCAGACCGGGACATGGAAATGTTGAGGGAAGCGAGGCGATGAGCAGAAAGAAAACAGGGAAAAGATTAACCAGCAAAGCTAAGTGTAAAAGTGAATTAGGGTCTTCAACAAAAAAATGTTATTTTTATTTTTAAGCTTCTGCAGAGTGTGAGGACGAATGCATGTGTGGGCACATTTGTGCTGCCGTACTTCACTGCGAGTGTCAGACGATGAACAAACTCAGCAACGACATTGGAGAAACGGTGAAAGTGTGTGGTTATGTTTGCCGTCTTCTGTCTTCCTATGCTGCGTCTCATACAATCCATACAGACTTGCTAAGTATCATTGTGTCCCATTGGTGATACTGCCTTTTTTTTTCATCACTCTGCAGCACTGGCCCTTTGTTTTGCACATTTGTGTTGGGGCTTTATGGTGTCAGAATGCATTTCTTTGTTGTTTTTGCATGTCATTTTAAATCCATTGCCATCTGCATACGCCTGACTACTAACATGTGATGGAAACATTTCCAGAAAGTCGTTATAAAGAGTAAAAAGCAGAGGACCTAGTGCAGAGACCTGAGACACCATGTGTAATATCAGTCATCTGGAAATGTATCACCTATATTAACATGCTATTTTCCATTTCTCTGACATGTTTTTTATACATTTCGTCACATTAGGCTTAAAAAAAAGGGGTTACATTAGAATATAACTTTCCAATAATGCTCTCATGGTTAATCAAAAGCTTCCTTTAGAAGGAAATCAGTCCCTAATACTCCACCAATGTCCAAGTTACCCTTCATAACTTGTGCAATTTTAGTAGAATTTTGTTTCTAAAAACTGTTTGGGTAAAATTCTAAATTAGTTGTTCATTATATGAAGAATAGCCTGCTTAGATGACATACATTTGTTTATATGCAATAAGTTTTTCTTTTAATATGACACTGTTATTAGACCTAACCCATTTTTGGACAAACAATATAAAAAACTCATATACTCATATTAAAACAGTAGTTATGTAAAAAAGGAAAGAAAAAAAAAAGCGCCACAAACAAGGACACTGAGTCTAATCTCACTGGACAAGTTGTTCCACTTACGTGTCACATTTACTTACTGCTAGCATGAATATGAAGCACTTAATGCTATATAAAACCTGCTCCTCTGGGAGGATTCTGTGGGATGAAGACAATAACGCCACATCTTCAATGACTTTCATGCAGTTTTAGAATTAGTTTAAAAAAAATGATTTCTTTTTTTCATGCTAAAGGGTCACAGAATTCACAAAGCTGTGGAAACACAAAGTTGGCTCTGGCAAGATAATGGTTCCTACAGACTAGGTTTGAGTTTAATTTGTTTGAACCATTTTTCAGGTCTGGTTCAGTATGTGCAAAGAAAAGAAAATTGTGTTTTTTTTTGTTGTTTTTTTAGAGTTATCTTTATCTCCCCGTTTTTTTTTTTTTTTAGGTTGCGTATGTAAAGCCTGATTTCTGTATGTCATACGTTAACTGTGAACTCTGATAAATATAAGAAACAACAATTCGAGTCTGGTAGGGTCTGGAATTTTCACGAGTAAGTTATAAGCACCCTACAAAAAAAACAAAACAAAAAAACAAAACAAAGGATACTCTGAGACAGTCATGTTTTATACCCTGTTCGGCTCCAAACGTGCTTTCTCCATCCCATTCTTTCGTAGTCCTTCTTAGTCTCATGTTCGCCGTTAGGAGCTCTTATCCCATTGACCTCCACGGAGTCTCCGCAGACCACATGACCTAGAGATGGGGTGTCAGAGGAGCTTCTAATATCACTTTGCGCACACACACATGCACTCGCTCACACTCGCCGTCTCTGGTGGCTACAGTAATTGCTGTGACACGGAAGGTCATTTCCAGAGACAATACAGAATAAGGCCGGGCTGCATGGGACTGGTTAGCCAACATCCAACCCCGTCCTGTTGTGTGTGAGCGAAAGAGATAAAGACAGAATTAATTGTGCTTGTTGTCTTCGAGCTGATGAAGATGAATCAGTGTTTGCAGAAGCAGAGCGCAGAGACACCTTTATCTCCATGAAGAGGGCGCCCCTGTGTGCGTGGGTGGGTGGGTCTTATTGACGGGGGGGGGG